GCCAAACGGCTTGCAGACGGGCACCCAAGCTCTCGTTGCGACTCGGTCCCGACGCGACAGTGGCAAGCGATACGGCGAGAAACGAGGGGGCGTCGGCCTGGCATCCTGGGCGGAGAGGCCAGAGCCGGCGTGCGCTGGAACATGTCTCTGTTGTCCGGCATGGGTCTGACGATTGGCTTGCTCCAGACAAGGGCCATCCCGCACATCGCACACAGCAGCGGGACGTCACATGACGAGAGTTGCATGCATGCAAGCGCAGCTCTCCCGCCCGCCCCGTTTTTTTGGGGGCCATTGTTTGCTGGCCAGGTGGGAGGACCGGGCTCAGCCATGCCCAATCGAGCAAAGACGAGATGACGGAAACCCCCCGGCTGGCGAGACGATGCCGGCACGGCCAATGCGACGTGATCCGCGCCCGCCTCTCGCAACGGGAGAGGGGCCGGCCACGCGTGTTCCACTCCGCATTCGCGTCGTGCGCTCCCGGCCAGCCAACCGCCGCTGGATGTGGCCCGAGAGCGAGGATGAGGCCCGGGAGATGCCGCACCCAGCGCCCACGACGCGTCCCTGTCCTGTGTGCAGAGGCGAGCAGGTCCCAGACGGGAAGGGGGCGTGTGCATGTGGCAGATGGCGGCCACCGGAAGAGGGCCTGCCACGTCGCAATTTCATGTCTGGAACACGGCGCAACAGGCCGCCCCAAGAGCGAAACCCCCCCGCGTCGTCTCCCTGTCCAGTGACCTTGAGACACAGTGTGAGCGCACAGGCGCAGCGCTGCACCCAACGCCAACGGGCCCCAGAACAGGGCTCGGCCCGGAGGCGAGCGGGGCCGCCGTCCTCCATCCCGCCAGGGCCCAGGGCCGGCCATCCATAAATGAAGCTGTTCCTTGTCGACAACGGCTTCCACTGCCACGGCCGCCCGGCCCTGCCAGGAAGTACCTCCTGACGGCATGCCGGTGCAGCCCTTTGGAGGGGGAGCGGCCAACCTTGCCACCGGGGTTCAAGCGCTGAAGGCAGCCAACAACACAGGCAACCAGCAGCCCAACCGGGCCCTCTGATGAGGCAGTCAAGTCGGACGTCCGCAGCAAGTCGTCAGCGTCTCTCTGCGCTGCCAAACTGCATGTGTATGCACAGCCGAGGCGGGCGGGCCGCCAACGCCGTCGTCCTGGTCCGACGAGCCCTCCACTCGGATTGCCGGATGCCGTCTACCTCGTCTCACGCCGCTCTGTGGCTTTTATCGCCGCGGGTCCGGACGACCGGCCGTGCCATCGTTGCAATGGCACGAAATTGCCTTGAGCCGTCGCAGCGGCCTGTTGTCTTATGCAGCCGTCTTGGCCCTGTGGCTCAGGGCGACGTCCGAGTACTCCGCATATGTGCGGGACGCAAACAGTCGCATGCCAGCTTGACTGGCTCCTGCGTAGGATCTGATGAATGGGCCGGCTACAGCATACGGAGTACAGGTCCAGGAAGACCTTGTGGGACGGCAACGGAGGATTGGTCGACGCTGCCCTTGCGTGCAGTGATTCCGAGCCACCTCCAAGAGTGCGAGGTCTTGTGGTGACGACAGACGAGCGGTGTCCCGATGCTCGTGGCCCTGGGAAACGAGCGGTGTGAGCCAACGACGGTAGGCATATGGCCGTTTTGGGACGAATGCATGCATCCCTTGCTGCTTGTCGGGGGGGGTGCTCGTTGGCTCAGCTTTGCGCCAGCGCCGCGTTTGCCCGCGTCTGCGCCGCACCGCAACGCGGCGACGCCGCCGCCGGCGGGCACGAGCTGTTACGAGTATATCTCCCATGCAGGCGAAAATTGCGTGGAGCGTTGTGCGGGCAGCCATGTTCCAGCCTGAGGAAACCGTTCTCTCTCCAAACCATCAAGGCGAGGGTTGCGGCCGATGAACCGCAGATTGGTCTAATTCAGAGCTGCTGCAACAGGAACTCAAGGGCTGGGGGCGACGGTGCAACCGCAGACACGCCGAGTCAGTCGCCAACCCGCAACCTGTTAGGCATGGCGCGTGGAACGCACGGCGCAGGTGCAGGGCTGACGGAGCCGGGGACCATCTCCGCCTCTCGAAGCGTGTGACGGGCTCAACCTGCAGCAAAACACGGCCGGAATCGACATGTCGTCTTGTCATGCCACTGACAAAATCTCTGGCCGCGCACAGCACCACTTTCTCACGCTGGGGGGCGGGATCCGTCACAAGGGGCCTTGCCTTGGGCAGCCACGGCTTGGAGGAAGGGGCAAAATCAAAGCCAACGGGCCCGGGGGGCGTAGCGCGCGCCGGGTTGGCCGCCGCTAGTTGGAGAAGCCGCCCGCGGAACGGTGCGCTCGTGCAGCTGCATGATCACCCGTGATCGGCTGATGTTTCCTCCTCGTCGAGCCTCCACCCCTGTCCAGTCGCAGCCCCCTGCCTTGCCCAGGCCTTTTGCTCCCTTGCCCCCCCCCCCCCCCCCCCCCCCTTCAAAGAACCGGCCGACGCGGGTGTTGGCTCTGCCGCTCTCGCGGCCATATGCGTATAGAAACTGGCCACGTTTCGAAGCGGCCGGTGACGCTGTCTGCGGCCCTACTGCAGGGTTGCTGCACCGTCCCCTCTTTCCCGGCGCTGGTCCTCCCTGCGATCCGCAGGTAAGCTGCGTGTCTGCGGTCTCTCGTTTGCTTCTGCCGCCGATTCGGCTTGACAATTTGGAGGGCGGCCTTGGACGTGGGTGTGCAACGCGGCGGTCCGGCGGCGGCGTTTGGAGATCTCGATGGTGGACGCATTTACCACGGGTCATGTGAGGAGACTTGGAATTGCCTCTGGCTGCAGGCGCTGTCGGCCCTTCCTTTTCACCTTGGTTGATCAAGAGACTCTTGGGCTGCCCGCCACTCTGCGCCGTCACAGCGTGCTTCGTCTCTGTCGCTGCCCCTGGTGCGGTCGTTCCAGGCCAACTCTGCAGTGCCAGCTCCATCCGGCCGAGGCGTGTTGGTCTGTACGGACACTCGCACGCCCGTCTCAAGGGTGGACGAAAATTTGTCAACCGGGGCGGTGGAGATGATGCCGTTTGACATGACGACCTACCTCACAGAGCGCACATGGGCCCTTGATAGATGGACTTTGACTTTGCATCCATGGCAGCGCGCCCTGCATCCCCTGTGGCATACCTGCAGGCAAGACGGAAGGCGCCGGGCCGGACCCGATACTCTCCTGAGAGGGGGCGAGCGCGTTGGGGGCGCGGTGCCTGGCCAGACGGCATGTCACATACTCGACCCCAGCTCCCACCTCCTAGTTATTACACCCAGTGTGTAGGGGACGATGGTGGGTGACGAATTATGACTGAGAGGTAATTACCAGCGCCACGCATTCCCAAGAGGCACGTACGGCTTGGTGGCTACGGTGGCTGCGGTAAGGTCCGTCGCCGAACAAACGGTGATTCATCTCTGATGAGAGTCTTGTTTGGTAAGTTGGAGGTACTTGGAAGCATGTGGCAGTGGCCTGAGTCGGAGAGATTTGGCCTACGGGTGTAGGGAGACACAACGGGCGTTGTGGGCCAGCCCCGTGGTCCAGCGTCGCTGGGCTATTCTGTGGTGTCTCCTGGACGGCACGACAGCGTGTGCCAGAGACTATACGGTCGCTAAGAACGACTCGTGCAGCAAACGGCCTCCTCGGTCCTTGTCCAAGGCACCTTTGATGGCAGCTCGAGCTTATGCTGCCGCATTGTTTGAAACGAGGATACGGCCAGCGCGAGAGCAGCGGCCCGACCAGCGATGGAGCACCCCAACTGTTCGACACTTGGGGGCGGCGGCTCACGCCCATTTGCACAATCAACAAAAGGACACGGTTATCTGGCCGATGGTTCGTCCTTTGAGTGTGTCCGTTGGGCTACCGGCCGATAAATTCTGACAACGGCAATAGGGGGTCGCCAACGATGGTAGAGAGGAGAGCTCCGCGATGGCGGCGCACGATACATTTCTCGGCCACTGGGACACACCTGCATTGTCAAGACATTGGCCGCCCTAGTGAGCCGTCGACCAGACATCAGCGGCACGGCGACAGTGCCGCGTTTAGCAATCTCACTTGCGCAGTGCCCACGCCGTCTTCGACACACAAAAAAAACCCACCCACTACAAAACGATGAGGCTCTCTTATGCGGCACAGCTTGTTGTCCAGGTCAGAGAAGTCCGGCCCAAGTTCTTCCGTGGCGGACCAGACATCTGATGAGCATCGCAAACTAATGCTACCCCGTTCACGAATGCAAGAGCCCGCGCGCTATTCATGATTCGCAGCACGTCTTCGCTTCTGGCGTCGTTACCGACGGAGAGGGATGGCTCAACGCCTCTGTCCATGTCTCTCTTATTGCAGTTTCAAAGACGAGAGACGCAAGGCCGGCGAGAGGAGAGGAGATAGGCTGAGCTGGGCTCGGCACACTACGTCGCAGGCCGAGACGCGTAACTTCACCGCAAGACGTGCACCACCATCCCGGGACTCTATCACGTCTTTTTGAATCGTGGACTCACACACGAACCGCCGAAGTCGAGCGAAGCATAACGTAGTTGAGAGCGAGCCGTGGAGCGGCCGTGCCAGGCCGGCGCCGGGGAACCAGGCAGGCCCCACCCCCGCTGAAGGGGAAGACCTGGAGCAGCCCCGCAAGTTCGACTCAGGGCTCGGCGCAGCCGCTCGGAGCGGCGGGTCCGGCTCCGGGCGTGGCGCGCGGCCTGCTAATAAGTTGATGACTCCAGTGACTCCCAGCCCGTCTGGCGCTCTTGGGTCTGGCGCGCCACGTCGAAACCTCCCGAGAAGTGTCCGGGATCGTGGATAAAAAGACATCTCACAGAACTCGTTCTCTCTCTCGGCACGAAAATCTCAAATTCATTGCAACGGGAACCATTTTTTTTTTTTTTTCAAACACTCTGCAGGTTACTTTTGTGTGTTGTGTGTCTGTGGACAAGTGCCGCGACCAAACGACGACGACGACGACGTCATAACTTGAAGAACCAACACGCGCACGCGCTTTGCAACAACGCGGCTGCCCATCATGACGGACACTACCGCCGTGAACCAGGCGTACTTCAAGTGCGACTCTTCCCCTTTCTGCCTGACATGCAAATACTGAGTGTGCTCTTTTGCTGACGATTCTCACCGCTCGCAGCCAGCTCGCCGCCGAGTACGACTCGCGGTTTGAGAAGACGGTGGGCAGGCTCGAAAAGGAGGTGAGGGGCCTGGTCGACTTCATCGGCGCCCCGGAGGGCGGCCGCCTGCTGGACTATGCCTGCGGCACGGGGCTCCTGTCGAGGGTGCGTACACGTCTGCCTTGTTGATTCTCAGTTAGCATGGCCGAGCTCGCTTGCTTACCCGCGTGTAGGCTCTCGGAGATCGCATGAGCCAGTGCGTCGGCGTCGACGTCTCGGAGAGCATGGTCGAGCTCTACAACGCCAAGGCAAAGAGCCAGGTAAGTCCGAATGACCGACTCCCTCATCACCACGTCCCATGTCCACACGTCAGAGAAAGCCATGCCATGCCAGCGTGCTGACCACCACCCCCGGGGAACCCAGGGCTTCACCCCCGAGCAGCGCGCCGCCCACGTCGGCAACCTGCTCGACCCATCCGACGCCTCCCCCACGGCCCTCTCCGACGCGCAGTTCTCCAACTTTGATGTCGCCGGCGTGGGCGCAGGCTTCCACCACTTCGACGACGCGCACCTCGCGGCGGCGCGCCTCGCGCAGCGGCTCCGCCCAGACGGCGGGGTGCTCTTCATCCTCGACTTCGTGGCGCACGAGGCGGACCCGGACCACGGCGCAACCAAGGGCGTGCGGCACCACGGCTTCACCGAGGCGCAGATGCGCGACGTGTTTGAGCGCGCGGGCGTGGGCAGGGGGTTCGAGTTTCGCGTCATGGACGAGGACGTGGTGTTTGAGAATGCGCGCGGCGTGGGCAAGCACATGACGAGGAGGGTGTTTTTCGCGAGGGGCGAGCGCGCGTGAGGAGGTGACTTGTGAGGGGGGACTGCTCTGGGTTTGTGTCACGATATCAAGAATGAAATACGGTCGAGGGTGAAAACAGCTTCGTCATTAGGCGGTCAGTCAACGTAACACAGCCCACGTGATACATGGCATTATACTCATACACACAATCTCTTTCTCTGTGTGCCTGTGTCGACCAGATCTGTCATTGTGCAGCCAAGTAGCCTGCCAGTCTGCCAGCCAGGCAGCCAGCCCCTTTCTTGCACGCCCAACGCCGACCCGTTTCTCCTCGGACGGCCCCCATTTACAGGTTCCCCTGCGGTGCCATGTCCACGACGAACGCTCCGCCGAGCAATATCGCCGGCTCCTCGATGTTGTGATGCTCGTAGCTGTGGGGAGGTGTTCCATGGTCAGCAACTCTCGCACATCTCATATATAAAAACACAGGGAGGCAAGCAATATCCCCTCCAGGCAGACCCAAGCCACTCAAGGAAAGGAAAAGGGGTGGAGAATGCTCACCTCAGGGTGCCGACACCGCCGGCCTCGAGCAGAAAGGCCGGCCCGTCCTGCAGCGTCTTGCCGGCCCAGCGCATGGCGAAGGCGCGGAGGATGTGTCCGTGGGCGACGAGGAGGACGTCGCCGTGCTTGCCGGTGCCCATGGCGGGCTCGTTCCACTTGCGGCGGATCTCGGCGATGAGGCGGTCGAGGCGCTCCGTGACCTGCTCGGGGCTCTCTCCGCCGGGGCAGCCGTCGCGCCAAATGTCCCAGTTGGGGTCGCGGCCCTGCTCGGCGCGGCGGCGGCGGATCTCGGGGCTCGTGACGCCCTCGTAGTCGCCGTAGTCCCACTCGCGGATGTCGTCGGTGACCTCGACGCGGGCGCCGCAGACGAGGGAGCCCGGGTCTTGCGAGCCGTGGGCCGCCCAGGGGAGGGGGTCCTCGACGCCGAGGTTGAGGAGCTCAAAGGTGCGCTGGGCGCGCTTCCGGGGGGAGACGTAGCTGCGGGGAGGCGGGGGCGGCAGAGGTTAGCAAGCCCGGGATCGTGAGGGTGCGGTTTTCCTTGTGTCTGTTTGTTTTCTGTATATGGCGTGAAGGGGGGGAGGCAGAGTGCGGGAAGGGGTGTGTGTGAGGAAGAACAACGATGGAGGGGAGTGAATATCCGTCTGTCTGTCTGTTTGCTCTCTCACAGACGACAGAAACTATGTGGTGTTTGTGCGACGTTGCAGCGCGATGCCGCATGAGCGACGATGATGCCGGTGACGATGCAGGTGCTAGGGGGGCATGCGCCGAACTACGGCGACGAACGACGACGGAGCAGGATGGGGTGACCACGCGGTAACACGGCCGGGGAGAGGACGCCGCCACGGATGGACGGATGGATGGATGGTGCGACTTGACGGCGGGCAGACGCAGCGGCCGGGCCGCGCAAGGTGTCGTGCGAGCGATGGAGCGATGGAGCGAAGCGCCGTGGCATGTGTGTGGGAGGCGACGAGACGGGCGGGCGGGTGGCTGCTTCCCGCATCGATGGTCGGGTTTGAATGTTGGCTCATCGTGGACGCTGGGCTGGATGATAGAGGCCCAGGCGTGCCATGCAGGTATGTTTGTGCGTCCGATGCATGCGGGCGGCCGCATCCCAGACGGGCCGCCGTGCCGTGCCCGCAGATGCCCGCAGATGCCCGCAGACGCATGGGCAGAGGTGATGCCGCCCGCAGGTACGCCGCTGCTGGTGTCCGTGGTGGAGCTTTCCCCGTAGACGTGCAGGCGGGTTGTTCGACGGCCTGTCCATTCCATCTGTCCGTCTGTCCGTCCATTCGTCCCTTTGTCCGGCTGCGGCTCCCGCGGCCGGGCTGCATGTAACGGCAAGGGGGAACACGAGGGGGGTTATAAGACGGCGAGCGGTATGCATCGCCAGCGGCAAGGAAAGGCAGCGACGGGCAACAAAACGACAAGACTAGCAACGCAGCGGTAAGGAGACACACACACACAGCACTCACATGTGGACGAGCTTCTTGGGGACAATGAGGCGGTCGTCGCCGACAAGGGCCTTGCCGGTGGCGCGGACGCGCTTCTCGCCGTCGGCGGTGAGGGGGATGTCGGTGCGGCCCGTGTGCTTGCCGCTGAGGGACCACTCCGTCTCGCCGTGGCGGACGATGAAGACGCGCGGGGTGCTGCCGCCCATGGTTGGCTGGTTGGTTTGCTGCTGGCGACTGAGTCGGGTCGAGAGCCGTCGGTCGGGTGTCGGATCCTTCGGGAGCGGGTTCGGTGAGTGAGTGAGTGAGTGGCTGAGACGCCCAAGGAGGAGGAGGAGGAGGAGGGGGCGGAGGGAGCAGCCAAAAAGGCCGTCGACGACTGCGCTGCGCGGCTTCTGGCAAGGCAATGGGCAGCGGGGGGGGGCGGCGCGCGTGTATGTGGATGAGCTGCTCAGTGAAGGCGAAACGAACGATGGCGTCGTGAGGATGGGGTGAGGTCGACTGATAGATATGGATCGTGGATGGTGGAGGGACTGGACTCGCTGGAGGTGGAGAGGGGCGCGCGCCGCTTCCGGGAGCGGCGGGGCGGGCACCATCTATCTTGCTGAAGACACGCACGAGGGGGAGCTTTTCCATTGATCCAGTTCCAAGGTTGCGGCGGGCCCTGGTGCCTTACGGCATTATTACCTAGTACCCACCACTCATCAGTGGCTCACCTAGCCAGTTGCCGCCACCGCCGCCGCGCCGGTTCAATAGGTGGGTTGGGAGCTTGGCTAGGTGAGCTGCGTCCCCCCGGCCGGAGGGGCCGGCCCTCGCTGAACGCTCCCCGAGCGCTCCACCCATTCAGGGCGCGGCAACGCGGGCACCCGACGCCGCCGCAGCGCACCGCAGCGCAGTGGAGCCCGCCCGCGCCCCCCGAACGGGCACCGACAAACGTACTATAATAAACGTCCCGTCCGCTTGGCCACGGCCGTGCAGGTTAGATATTCGGAGTGCACCCAGTGCGAAGGCCTCGATGCTATGAATTCTCTGTGCTTAGAAGCGCTTGAGACCATTTTCCTTTCTTTTTATTCTTTGCCCGGGATCATATTACGAGTCTGACCCAATTTCATCGCGGCGGTTGTTGCTGGCACTGACACAGCTCCTGGGCTCGGCCGGCCCGGCACAGGGCGGGCAAGCAAGTGCATGTAAGAGCCGCCGCAGCCCGCGCCGAGCTTCCCGCCCCGAATATCCGCATCCCCGGCTACCTACTCACAATCCCCGTGCGCTCGGAACGATGACCTGTCTCTTATACACATCTAGATGTGTATAAGAGACAGACCAACAATAGCGTCTACCGATTTCATTCCGGTCATGGCAATTCAGTGCCATTCCCAGCTTCACAAGGCAGACAGACGGGCAAGCACATAAGTGTCACCGAATGAGAGCTCGTGTGGGGCGGATGGACTCGGCCAGATTTCTTGGCCCGCTCCACGCCGTCTGCCCGTGCGCGTAAAAAAGGCAGACGTCAAGACCACGTACGTACGTACGGAGTACGCGTGTGTCGAATCCCTCTCTGCCAGCGTGCTTGCCAAGAGAGACTGGGCAATCCCGCCTCACATGCCTGCCAGTAACTTTTGTGGGTTGTGCTCGTGCCTCTCCTTCCCCCGGTCCCTCCCATCTCCCGGACAAACGATGCTGCCACAGATCGACACGAGATGCGTCGCCCGATTCCCGGCGTGCCTGGATGCGGCGCAGGGAAATAATCCGACTCGCCGCCCGCTTAGAAGCGCACATGTGAAATACACGCGTCTTTAGAGACATGCAGTTGCTAGTATCGTGTAATCATGTCCGACCCAAGTTGCCTGCCAGCTCTGGACTGCCGAGGCCGCATTATAGTCTCCTGTCAGTCCTGGACTCCGTATAAGTCGTTCTTTCAGCCTGTCGAAGCCAAAAAAGGGTCATCTCGACACCACAGTCCATCTCTACGACATAGACAGCAGGCTCTTGAGGCGTATAAGCCAAGATGGCCGCGACACGCCAGGTGCACATATCGCAAAAAGTCGCCGTCCCGCTCAGCCTCCTCATGGCCGGGGCGGCGGTCCTCGCCTTTACGCACATTCCCAACATTGGGGGGCCCGATCCGCCGCTCTTTACGACGACACGGCACCCCAAGGTCAGTAACTTGT